AATCAAAATATTCACATTCATATGGGCATTTTCGAAAATAATATTATTGTATTATATATTGTTAAAATTAGCATCAATAAAATTATACTTAATCTTCTTAATCCAGTTTTTGTGAAAAAAAAATTATGAAGGAATATCTGTATTAAAAATGTTTAAACAAAATCTCCATCAAAGATTAATTATTAATTAAAAAAAACTTATAGAATCGATTTTGGTAACATTTTTATTTAAAAGGAAAAAAAGTAGTTTAATAGGCACTATTATTTACAATATAAATCATGTATTTTAAAATTGAATGAAAGTTGAGATTAAATAAATAACAAAGATACAATTTTATTTTATTTTTTACATAAAAGGAAATGTTATTCATTTAATAATTTGTTTTCTTGAAAATAGATAGGTGAATTAGAATTCAGAGGGTAAAAATGGAATTTGAGTAAAAGGCTAAAAAAAATGTGAGAAATGAAATGTTTGCTTAGAAGATGACAAAGGTCTACTATGTAGGCGACATTTGGTGGGCATGCCCCATCATTGGTTGTCTGGTTCATGGCAAATTAAAGGACCCCTCTAATGGAAACAAATTATTTTATTTTGTTGTTCATGTGAAGTTAGTTTGTTCTGATTCCCAGAAAAAAAAAAGTTTTTTTTTTTCTTTTATGTGAAAGATTGTTTAGGTTTAAGTTCTCACTCTTAGCCAAACATTGAAATGAAGGTGTAATTATGTGCGAGATAAAACTTATCAGATGCTTACATCATGTTTCAAGATTCATCCCTATTCAAACATTCAATGCAAGGTCATTGAATTGAATGGGAAATGTATGACCAAAATCAGACTTAACTTTGTCGAACTAATTAAAGTCATTAATCTTACTTATTATATCAATGCTGAAGTTATAAGAAGTGGTGGATTTACATTAATGTAATCTTTTGAACTGTAACTATATATGTTGGATGAATTACGGAAAAGGAAACTGATAAATTTTAAAAATTTAGTTAAAAAAAGAAAAAGGAATAAATAGAGAAAATTATTAAAATCAAATTATTACACTAATCTTGATTAAGAAAACATTTCATTATTCTTCATTAGGATTTTATGTGGAAGAAAAAGTCATTGAAAGCTTGAACTTCAAAAAATGAAGATATTTCAGTGATAGTATCACTAAAAAATAGTAAAATTAGTGAAAATTTATTTACATTTTAAATCATTTTTTTACTTATACTCGAAATTCAAAGAAGTAAAAGCTAAACCAAAATATATGTATTTTTATTATGAATTGAAAAGAGTAAAATTTCAAAGTTGAAAAACTAAATAAACTAACTGGATATTAGAGTAAAAATATTTGATAAAACTAGTTAATATAAACGTTGAAATTATGAAAAAGACATATTTAATTACTTAGTTGATCATAAATTTTAATTTGGTAACTATTATAATTTAAAAAAATGACCACTTTTTGTATTTAAATTTACATGTTTCAATATTTTATATATTCAAAGTATTTGTATCAAAACACAAAGTATTATTTGTATCAACTAATAGTTTTATTTTCATATACTTTAAAATATATTTCATTAATTATAAACAATACCATTTAAAAAAAAATTATTCTAAGGTTGACTTACTAAAAAAATCCTACGATTTCATTCAATTGTATTTGTAACATGATAATGAGGCTAGCTTGAATATTATTATTATTATTATTATTATTATTATTATTATTATTATTAATGATGACAAATACGAAATCAAGTTTGAATGGCACATGAACATATGATTGAAATACACTAGAGAGTTTCTTGAAAAATGACCTAAAAGTGCAACTTTTAGAGGACTGAGAATTGTGTTTGGCAATGAAATGTTCCTGACACGATGCTTTTTGGCATTCGATAGTCACATGCTCATTGTCTCTGTTCATTGTCACCATTAAAAGCTTACACTAAGGAGTGAAGTGGGAGGATATATATATCCACCCTATAAACTTCATCTACGAAAGGTTTTCTTGACAGAGACTATGCAGGATAGTGCTCGTGTTTTGTCCTACACAAAATGGTCACCAAGATTTAATTTTTAGAAATTTTCCATGTGTCCTTCATGGTCCATGTCTCTTTTGGTCGAGCCACTTTTTACTCTTCTTTTCGGACTGATTAATATAGTCGTATTAGATTAGATATATATTTGGTTTAGAATAAAAATTCGTTTTAGAATAAAGATGTTCATAGATTGTTATTGTTTTGTGAAATAGTTTAACCTTTGATTGCATGCATGGCTATGCCCTACAATTTGGGTAAGAGTACTTTCATGTTACCACAAAGCATATTTGCCAGTAGCCAACCTTAGCTGTGCTAAGTACTACTTAACAAGTCTTGTCCTTTCGACTTTGGTATATGAATATTCTTGTCTCAACTATCTACCATTACACAAATATACATTACATTTATACTGAATTCAAATCTGATTTTGAAGTTTCAATTTTTATAAACATAATCAACAAGATCAATATCATATCAAATACGAAAGTCTTTGTGTTTTCCGTGAATTTTCCTACATACAGACGCACAGATGTTCAAGGAATGTGTGTTATAGTTTCCAACATACTAACACACAATGTTTTTCTTGATTCTCAAGATTGAAGGAAACTCAAGAAAAGGTTAAGAGAGATTTGGTTAATGGATTCTTATTGAATTGTAAAGAATAATAAGATAAGTAGGTGAGTATATGCAATCACTGTTATCACCTGAAAGTAGTTACCAAGGATAACATTAATTTTCATTACAGTAAAAGTAAAGATTGTTAATGTATCCAAGACATAATTATTACATTATATACGTGATCTTATCATTGTCAAGAAAATGTTAGACACGAAATCTTGGTTTGGTGAAAACTAAATTTGATATCCAAAGATAATAAATGAAAACTTATATGAAAGAAAATTATTTTTGAATCCGCGGGTTAAAAAATCGAGATCAACCATCGAATTCTAAATTTTATTTCATTTAAATATCCAACATATAAGTATATATTAATTATACCATATTGACACTTTTCAGAAATATTGTGAGAGGATAAAATGTAGAATAAGAGTTATATTATTTATAAATGTTTTTTAATGTTTACTGAAGTATTTTGCAACTAACATTTTTCTGACAGTAAAATAATTATAAGTAACACCAAACAAAACAGATGCCAACAACAACAAAGGAAAAGGAAATAACTATTTGAATTCTTTGGCAAAACGATTCCTAATTTGTTATATTAATGGTTCATTAGTCAATGTTTGTAGCTTAAGCCAATCAACTAAAAGTCTCAGTTCATCATGCTATGTATTCAATGATGAACCCTTGTTATCAAATCAAAGGAAGAAAGAAACTTGAAGTGAGTGCACAGACAAAGGTGAAATTAAATTCAATTTTTTATTCAATTATCGTAGGATTGAATCCCCTGAAGTTGAAAAGGAACACAAGGTTTCCACCCTTTGATGTCATACATCAAACATCACCATCCTAATTACAGAGGATAGAGCTTCACCTCATGCATGCAACTACAGAAGATTTGTATCCCTTCCTCTCACATTTATGAATACAAAACGAGAAAAATATAAAAGATAAGTGAAAATAGGTTATAAATATAGTGAAAAACCTAAACAAGTTATAAACACAATTTTCGCTAATGATTTAACTAAAAGAAAAGGGAAAATGCTATTTTTATAAAACGATTTTCTAAATTTTATTATATATATATATATATATATATTTTTTTTTTTCGAAAAACCAGATAAAATAACAAGAATTATACTTCAATCATTGGGGAAGCATTAAAACAAGTTGAGTAATTAAATAAAATACAAATTTTAAAATCATCCTAGTAATATCTCTATGTCTCGAATTTTAAATTCAAGATAAAGAAAGAGAAAAAAAAATGACGGAAAGAACATTTCAAAAGCTCCGCATAGGGTAACAAAATGGCTAATTCAAAGCACTAGTTTAAAAGTCCACCATAAAGAATTTGTTGCCTAAACAAAACTATGTTGAGGACTTACTTTATCTCCAACCACGTAGGTCAAACATAAACCCCTCTTCTTTCTCTCTCCTAATTTTAACTCCCCTAACTTCCATGACCCACTCCAAGATTCCATTGTGGCCATACATTTAATCAATCATTTATATCTGTTATACCACATATTCTTTAAATATTCTCTTGTTCGTTGAAAGATAGTAGTTTTGATCACGCTACAAAATGTATTATATTTATTTATATACTAACATATTCTTAATTAAGTTACCATCATTTGTATATAACCCTTCAAATTACAGTTGGCAATCACACAAACATTTTTTTTTTTTACATACAACTCACAAATATTATTCTAAGTGTTTAATCATTAAACGCATGTATTTCTTCATTTACGTTTGTTCTATTTTTTATGTAACGGGTATCTCGATCACACTGCTTAAAGCTTAGTCCTGTTTACATATTGTCTGATTATAGTCGAACACGTAATTTTTTATTAAATAAATAATTTTCATATTCAATTTATTGACAAATACTTTCGAGTTTATATTAGTTAAATACTTAGAAAAGAAAACATATAATTAATATGAATGGTATTATACTTAATTTTCTCAAATGAAATTTGGGTTTTAATTTTATGAATAAAAAATATATAATTATAAATAAAGACTTTATTGAAAGTTTCATAAAGAGTTATGTTATTCATATTAATCATTTATATCTAAACAAGTTTATCTCCACTAATATATATATATATATATATATATATATATATATATATATATATATATATATATATATATATATATATATATATATAAATTAGTAGTGTTTATGACAAAATGTCCCACCAAAGGATTTCTTGAACTATATAAATGCATTCCTTGGAAGACTTGCCTCTTTAGAGCTGGCCACCAAACCCCACTAACTACACCATCTCATCATCTTCAACTTCTTGGCTTTTTGAAAGGAAGAAGCCATAACAGCTTCAATGAGTTCCATAACCAAAGCTCCTCCTTCCTCCAACGATGTTCTTTCCAGCGAGGAGAGTGGCTGGACTACGTACTTTGACGACTTCTTCAACAACCATGTCGATAACAAGTGTTCCATGTCTTTATCAGGTGTTGCTTGTTCCTCCCTTGTCTCCGATGCAGCTTCTTTGGTACACAAAAAAGTTGCCAGTAGCAAACAAGTTGAGGAGTTTTCAGTGAATAAAAATTCCAAGAGAACAAGTTTCAAGAAGAGAAAAGATGTTATAACGGCTTTGATTGATGACGCTTTGGAAGATACAGCAACTTCTCCTCTCAGTAGTCCCAAGGTTCATTAGTTTTTCCTTTTTCCTAACTTTTTTATTTTTCTTTATAGTTCATGTTTTTTGAGTTTAGTATATTAGTTCCACATGTAGTTGTATAAATAAATCTATTATTTATCCGTGGAATTTTAGGTTTTGTATGCGAACCAGCAGATTGACAAGGCAAACAGACAGAAGTAGTATAAACCTTTTCTCAGGTTCAATCGAATTCACATAATATACCATATATATAACCTTTTTCTATTTTTACTTCTTTTGTAATTAAAATAAAAAAGGAAAAATGCATTTATAATAGTTACATGATATTTTATAGAATGGAATGAAATATCCCACCTTTATATAGTGAAATTAAAATGTATTACTTTTTAAACTTTACTTCCATTTGTCATTTTCTTCTCTTAATTGCATCAAATTATACAAAACAGAAACTTTTATGCTGTTACAGTCCATCTCTTTCAAACCTCTACCAAACTATAACATCAAATAAAACAATTCTCATTGTTTCTTCCCTTTTCCTTATACCTTTCCCATTGCTGAAGCAAAATCTCTACCCTCTTATTCATGTGGTGTATGCTTTCCTACATGCATCAACTAACAAGCCACCAATTTGTTTTGTTCATATAGGAGAAAGGCAATATCTCAGGACAACGAGATGAGCAAAATGAAATGAGTCTCAAAGGGAGGGATAGTGATTGCACAGAATTAAAGAAGAGAGGCATTTGCTTAATTAGTTCTCTTGTCAATGGTAGAAACCTTTCTATGTTAATTACTTAATAGTATTATGTTAAAGTTCAATGATAATCATTTTTGGCTATAAAAAATTATCATGTTAAAGTATATGTTTAACATATTTCTCTTTCTCTCTCTCTCTCTCTCTCTCTTTCTACTAGAGCACATAGAAAATCATGCTGGAACATGCTGCTGCATATAATGAATTGAACCTCTTTCTACTGTTCCCAAATTCCTATGCAGTAGTAATATATAGTAGTAAATTACTAATTACTGGCTACACTGAAACATACCCGACTGTATTTGTATAGGACACATTCTGCTGGAAAGCACAGACGAAACATGAGACACATATAGCAAAGAATAAATAGAATGGTGGGAAGTGGGAAGATATATGAAGTGATGAGTAGTAATAAGTAAGGACTATCATTTGTCTCTGACACACAGAATCCAGAATGATCAGCATACTGAGATTGCATTTGTCTCCTTAAAATACTCTTGCAAATTAATTAACATCCTTTGTTAAAGGATTTTTTGAAATTTTGACTCACCAAGTTAATGCATTTGTTGGTATCATCTTCCAAGTAAAGTACTGTGTTTATTCGTGGATATGCATGCACCACGAATCATGATCCAAGAAGTAGAAACAAGGGGAAAAAGAATACAATTATCATGCCAAGAGAGATTAGAAAGTATATTTTAACATGTATGAATTATTGTAAACTATCTGGTTTAATTCTTTATGAATAAAAATAATATTCTGAATATTTTGATTCTTCATATCATTGATATTATCAATACAATCATATGTACCTTAATGTATTATCAATGCAATAAATAGTACTATTGTGTTTTGTAATGGATTAATTAATGATCTCCACCTAACAACAGCTGCAAAACTTTCGTATCACAGAGAGAGGAAAAAGGAAAAAGGAAGATGACAACATCACCAAAACTTAACCCCCAAAGGACCGACACTAAATAGATTGGCCATGTTAGATAATTGAATTCTAATCCATGTCATTTTTGGATCATCATTATTTAGATAGTAAATGGAAAGAAAACATATTTCTAGCTACTGAATTATATCATCCCTCATATGCTTTTGTATTCTTTATTTTTCATATTCAAGGCCAATAATACAAAATTTTGCAGATTAAATTGTAGTAAAATTAGCATTATAAAAAGCATTGCCATGGTTATAATCATGTAAAACCAAAAAAAAAAATTGCAGTATCGTAGTTAGTATGAGTAGTTTGCCTCAACAAACACATCAATCTCTAACGTCTATATGACTAGAATTCTTGAGTTCATTATTGTATCATGAAACAGTAAGATGTGTGTTACTTTGAAGGTATTGTTTATCAATTAGGTGCGTTTGCTTTACATTATTATTATTGTTTAAGAAATCGTAAGCGTACAATGCTAAAACCATGCAAAGTAATTATAGTAAAGATGTATTATTTTAGAATATTGTTTATTAATTAGGTGTGTTGGTTGCTTTTCAATCATTGTTGTTTAAGAATCGTAACTTTCAGAGCTAAACCCATGCAAAGAGATGATATGTGTCAAATTCTTCTCTTGTTCACTAATCAATGATTAAACCACAAATAAATAATCCATTGTCGTCTATTTGAAAATAGCATGAATCAATTATAGTAATGAAACTGTTATAATATTAGTAATCACGTAAATATAGTATAAAAAAATAAACAAATTCTTATTTAAAGAAATTGAAACTAATCATATGATTCTGCATTTAAATGGAGCTAGTATACAAATATACATTCTATATCAACATCATTCAAATAGATAATAAAACATGCCACAATTTTTAATCTAAAATCTTATTTTAACGAATATAACATAAAAATAATAAGATATTTATATTAAAATAATGTATTTTATTGTAAAGAACATCTATAAACAACTTAAAAAAAAAAAAGTAGGAGGATGGGTTGGTAACATCTGGGTATACGAAGGTATTTATTTGGAAGGGAACAAGCATGAAGTAGGAGGAATGGAAGGGAAGACATTAAAGGAAAATTGGCCAAACTATTATGATTATGATGCATATGTAACTAACTTTTTTAGGTGTAGGTAGCAAGTTTAGTAACTTTAAAAATGATTACAAACTTTAAGCAAAATTTGGCATCATATGAAGTCTATCACCATAGTCTCTTCCCTAGCCCTCTTTTTTTTCTCTATGCCTAGCTTTTTAAAAATCTGCCATACACCTAACACAATCATTTTTCTTTTCGATTCATTTCATGTTTTGAATCACTCATCAGTTTAAGGATATTTTCTTTCTTTCTTTCTTTGTCTTTTTTAAGTTTTTTTTGTAAATTTTACAGAATGATGCTGTCGTGCTGAACAAAAAAATCATTTGTGAGAAATTGTTATTTAAACTGATTAAGTTGAATCATGCAATATATTTTTTATTTTAGCTTTTACCAAAAGAATATTGATTATCTTGTTCCTTTTTTTTCTTAAGTGATTTAATTAGTTCCAGTTCATGTACTTTGACAAGTATAATAAATTACGTACCTAATTTGCTTCGTCAAAGCAATGTACTAGTCACATGTAATTATTGTCATAATATGCTTTGCGACAAGAGATAACTAATTTTTATTAAAAATAGGTGAAAATTGTAAAACACTTTTTAGTTTGAAAAAATGCACAACATCTTAAAAAAAATAAAATTATGGAACTCATAAATAGAAAACACTTTTTATTTTAAACCATTACATATTTTTTTATTTTTTGAGGTGGGTTTATTTAATGTAGTTAAAGTCCTCGTTTTCTTGATTGGTCCTTCCTTTACTTTCTCCTTTCAATGCCTAATCATCGTTGTCATCGTCTTGTTCGATGTGTGATGTTGAGTGTGGTGGTGATACATTTTTTTTTTACTCAAACTTTTTAAACACAAGGGACCAAAAATTCTATTTTAACCTAATGTAAATGCAAGTCGTGAGAAGAAGTGAAGATATTTTGAACATTATAAAAATAAAAATAAAAATTAAAGTGAAAAATATGTAAATAGCAATACCCATTAAGGATGAGTTAAAATAAAGAATAATTATTTTAATTGTCATTCGAATAACTTTATTATTTTTTAGAAAATTATTATTTCTTAAAAGTTGTGGTTTGAAGAACGGGCCCGTGGCCCAACCCAAAGAAAGGAATAGTGGCGACCTCAAAGATCCCCCAAGTTGGACCAAACTTTTCGGAGTCTCCGGCAAAGACACATGTCAACGCCACCATACGCCGCTTAAGCCTCACCGTTCGTGGACGAGGATGTTGTGTGCCACGTCGCACCTCACTCTTCCAAAACCCTCGTCACTATGTCAAGGTTCACCATCTCTTACCTCTCAATAACACTTTCTCTTTGAATTCTCAACAGTTTATGCTTTCATTTACCGTTTATAATTCATAATATTCTCCGTAATGCCACCCCTGCATCTTTTTTGTTCCCTTCGTAAATGTATTTCAAATGTTAATTCTAATAGGCATGTTCTTGTTTGATGTTTCAGTTTGTTTTATTTTATGGTACTTCAGTCTTGGTGGTAACACCGTAACTTCAAAGTGGGGTATCTTTCTTTCAGTAGTGCTATAAGGCACCCCTCTTTTAATATTTGTTTTGCATGGACCTAAATTGAAAAGTTCTAGAGAAATAGATAATTTCTGCTATAGAAATTTCCCATGAAAACCAATTTACTTTGAAATGTAATAATCTCCCTTTTCTTTTGGAATTTTGTTTGTTTGACTTGCTTTATAGATATAATTTTTGTGCAAAGCTTGTGGGAATGTCCGGTGAGAGCTTGAGAGAGTTAATTTTGAATATACGATTATATATGAGTAGTCATAGTTATTTTACTTAGTTTTAATTTTAATCATTCTTTTGAATTATACAGTTGAGATTTTCTTCTCTCACCTTCATACTCGTACTATAAACATTAGATTTGTTTGAGTTTGAGAATGTGAGTAATTTCTATGCAATGTAATGTGCAGACTTCTTGCTTGTCAAAATGTTAGGAGGTTTACTCATGCTATTCACAAGACAGGCTGCTTCGAAGTATTTTATCCAATGGGGTCCCCTTACTCAAAATACAAATTACTCTCGCACTATAGGCATGTACACTCGAGACAAACTGTATTCATGTTATTTAAAACGAAGATTAACGTTTTTATGAGTAGCAGGGCTAGGAACTTGTGTACCCTCCCTGCAAATAATGCAAAATACCATCACGGTCAAGTTGTTTGGAACAGGATTTGTTTCCATAAAGGGCCAGCTCTACCACCTATAGGTCAAATTGCCCGTGTGGTAAGTTTGGCTATGGTCAAATCAAATTTTGTTGTTCATGGTGTGATTGCCTTCATCATAGGGGAGCTTGCGTGGACAAAAGGGAAATGGGCAGAAGCCGAGTCCTCTCCGACAAGGGATTCGTTTTATGTGCATGCACAAGATGGACGTGTATATATAACCACAGCTCTCTTTGCAGCCATAGAGGTTTTTATCTTGTTTCTCAGGGCTGTCTATTTGGTGATTTTGTTCTCTCCTTGCATAGCTATGGCTCCTTTAGTTGACTCTTTTGGCACTCAATTTAGAAAAACATGGATTCATGTTGTTCGCATTACACTTGAAAAAGCTGGCCCAGCATTCATTAAGTGGGGTCAATGGGCTGCAACCAGACCTGATCTCTTTCCAAGGGATCTCTGTGATGAACTTGCAGAATTTCAAACAAAAGCACCATCACATAAATTTAACTATAGCAGAAAATGCATTGAAAATGCATTTGGTCGCAAATTACATGAAATATTTGAAAAGTTTGAGGAGGAACCAGTAGCATCAGGTAGCATTGCTCAAGTTCATCGAGCTACACTAAGATACAAATTCCCTGGTCAACAAATCAAGCCTGTTGATGTAGCAGTGAAGGTCCGACATCCAGGGGTTTGTGAAGCAATTAGAAGAGATTTTGTCCTTATCAATCTTGTTGCCAAAATTTCGTCTCTCTTCCCTAATTTGAAGTGGCTTAGACTAGATGACAGCATACAGCAATTTTCTGTCTTTATGATGTCTCAAGTTGATCTTTGAAGCAGCGCATCTTAGTCGCTTTATCTATAATTTCCGGAGATGGAAAGATGTTTCATTCCCATTGCCTCTGTATCCCCTCGTTCACCCTTCTGTTTTGGTAGAAACCTTTGAACAGGGTGAAAGCGTTTTGAACTATGTTGACCATCTTGAAGGACACGAACATTTCAAAAGTGCACTAGCTCATATTGGAACACATGCTCTTTTGAAGATGCTTTTGGTAAAATATTCTGAATTCTTCATACTTTCGTTTTATTTTCCTCAATAACATCCTGGTCAATTTTGTTTATCAGAATATGTTGTTTGTTGATAGTGTTGTTAGTTCATGAAATTATAGAATGATAATATGTTATAGTACCTAACATTGAATCTAGTTGATTTAAATGTCGATTGTGTGTGAAAATGTAATATTTGAAAGAGGGGTGTTTTTACTATAAAGAGAGAAGAGGCTTATGGCTTCAGAAATATCTCCATCTGTCTACAACCATACTAGTACTGGTTACAAAGTACCACCGTTTGGTTTTATGTTTTGTATTGTTTTCATCAGACTATGTCATAATCTGATATGTATATATGGATATGTTTTTCAACAAAAATATAAAAAATAAAAAATAAAAATGAAGGGGAAGGGGAAGACCAATAAGAAAAGGAAAAGAACCACACTATAGCATTCTAAAATTCCACATTGTAATATGCTTGGTTGGGATTTTTCAGACTATAAGATGAAGATGTTAAGGAATGAATGGTGGATTCTTTGAGCATTTTGCTAGAGAAGATTCTTGATCTTCATTGAGCATCACAGATATCCAAATGATTCTCCTTTTTCCTTGCAGTTACATCTTGTATTGATAAATTATTGTCTTATGGACATAAATAGACATCTGTATTAAATTATCAATTAACTTCACTTAGATATATCTCTTCTTTCAGATGGACAATTTTATCCATGCAGACATGCATCCTGGAAATATTCTTGTCCGAGTAGGAAAAAGTAAATCATCACCTATACCACTCTTGAAGTCAAGGCCTCATGTAATTTTCCTTGATGTGGGCATGATTACTGAACTTTCGAAGAGGGAACGAGAATATTTACTGGAATTCTTTAAGGCTGTTGCACTTCAAGATGGACGTTCAGCTGCAGAGTGCACACTTAGATTATCCAAACGACAAAATTGCCCGGACCCAAGATCTTTTATTGAGGTAAGAAATATTGTTTCATGTTTTTTCACATATGATTTGTATTAATATCCTGATAACTTGTTACCACATAACCTGATGAATATTGGTATGTTTTACATTTACATTTGTGACAAATTTTATCCTTCACTTGCCATCCTATGTGTGACACAAAGTCATTAGTTGACTTCTGTTAAGGTTCCAACATAAAAACATAAAACTAATTGGTAATATGTGGAGTAGCCTAACATGTATTTAATTTAAACCATACCAAATGACATGAGGGAGGCGATGTGAGACTTTCAACACACCCCCTCCAACGAAGTTTGCCGGACCAGGCAAAGGGTACTTTTGACCTAACTAAAGGGCAACTTTTAGCCCATGACAATAACAGATGTTAGGCTTTGGCTATGATACCATGTTAAGGTTCCAATATAAAACCAATTGGCAATATGTAGAGTAGCCTGACATGTATTTAAACCATACCAAATGACATGAGGTAGGCGATGTGGGACTTTCAACAACCTCTAATCACCAATTGCGGATTGCATTATGTAGTTGATAGATACTTTGAAGTTGTGGACATTTGTGTTTCCCGAAGGTCTAATAAGTAATTAGGCTCAAGGGTTTTCAACATAATCAGAAAAAATAGCCTTGTTTAGTGGTCTAACCTGTTTCCTTCTTTGTGGGGATTGTATACTACTGGAGAAAAATTCATGTTAATTGTACTCCTTGTCTAAGTCTGCAAGTGTGTGTCTAAACATTTGTGCACAGACCATTTATGCATAATCTTCAATATGGTAAAAGATTATTCTTTTAAAATATTATGTGTAGTCTATTCTCATGCATTTTCTTCATTGTTGTAAAGTTGACAGAGCAAGCCTGTACTTTTCTTTTCTGATAAAATCTTTTAGCTTTTAACAGGAGGTGGATAAATCATTTAAACTTTGGAGGTCTCCAGAAGGTGAATCTGTCCACACAGCTGATCGAATGCAACAATTGCTTGAACATGTTAGACGCTGTAAAGTTAATATAGATGGAAATGTTTGTGCTGTGATAGTGACCACACTGGTTCTGGAGGTAAGTTCTGCCTCTGAATCAACTTTTCGACTAAGTATTCTTGACACCTTTATAAATGAAATGAATGATGAAAACCTGAGTATGTGGATTTTGTGCATTGCTATTGGTATGATATGTTACTGATCAAGATATACTTTACACATTTTAAATAACTGGTTAATTAATTTTCTAGAGCATATTGTGGAATATTTGTTTAGAATGCAAGACATTTCATCACCGTCGAGGTGTAAACTATTATGTTGCGTGTCCATCTTTTTGATGCACTGTAGTGGAGATGGTCTGTTGATTGTCTTTAAACATGATGAAGAAGCTTACTTTCTTACCTTTTTAGCATGACATGGTTAAAATGCTTTACGATTCTTAGAATAATTTTCCCATGAAAATCAAAACTGAAACCTTAAACGTAAATCACCAAGCAACTATGCATTTAGGTTTAAGAACAAAAACAGTCGTGAGTTTTCAATTCTGGGATATTGCACCTCAGCAAACCATATTCAGCCCCATGGATCGATTGATGCCACTGGACTCTGTTAAAAACACAGTTTCATTAAAGAAATTGGGAGTAACAAAAATGAGAATGTAAATATGGTTGTGTGGCCACAAGAAAATATAAGACAGAATTATTGTATACAAGCAGAAAACACTGATTGGCAAAAAAATTATATAAAACTGGTTAAGGATGTTTGAACATGTACAAATATGGCTCCAAAAGGCACTAGTGGTGAGTAGATTGCATGGTTTTTAGTCGTTTATCCTATACTAGAGAAAAGACCAATGTCATTGGTGAAATTTGTCAAAAGGGATCTTCGGCAAATAATATCTTTGAAACTTTGGTATTTAATCCAATAAAATGATTTTCGGATGGGTAATATAGCTTAGCTCACTTAGTGGAATAGGAATTTGTTGTTGTTGCTTCTATCATCCTCTACTTCATTCATTCAGATTCAAATTACTTGCATTGAGTGGCGAATATTCTTGAGAGGGACCCCCAAAGTATTCTAACTTATATATACATTTATGATTTTGACTCTTAATGATTATTTGGTCTCTCACCTTTTTATCTTCTTATACTTTTTCATATTTATTTATTATTTATTAATCATATGTAATTTGCACCACTAAAATCAATGATCAAGATCCGTCACTACTTGCATTTGATTATGATTATCATCTTTCATTGGAACCTCTGAAGGCATAGTTTTTAAACCTATGTGTTAACTTGTACACTTTCATAAGTTTTTGTGTTTAGGGTGACACAACAAACCAATTTAGTCACAAACTTGCTCATATATTAACATCAGTGAACTCAAGTTGGATCCTAGGAAGATGATCAGAGTTGCTAATTAGCTACCAATCCCACCAGCTTGATTTAGTTGCCTAAAACTTCCCTAAAATCCACAAAATGGCCCTTTTTTCATCAGGGTTTATATCTTTGTGTGTGTTTTCTGCTAAGGTTCATGAGTCACGACCTTTCTCGATTTTCTCCTTCTCCAATGACAGTCCTTGAGCTTCTACCTGCCAACACACGTGATAAAGTTTTCCAAAATGGTTACTCTACAAGTCTTCTTCATTGACCAACATCTGTGAGGAAGCCCTTTGGTAATCTCTCCCCTGTGATGATGACTGACGACTTTTCTGATCTGTGAGCTTTGCAATTGCAGCCCCTATCCCCTGCAAGCTCGAGTGGATAGTATCTTTATTGCTTTTCTATTACCCATGCAATTCTGCCCTCTTTTCTTATTGTTCCCCTGTCCATCTCTCTTGCTTGCCTATTTGGCTGTGCACTGGGCCTATTGGCTTCTGAAAGTGTGAACTACTGAAATTTTGATTTCTGAAGGTGCCCTCCTCGCAAAAGTGTGAAATGTGAATTCTCATGTTTACTTCCTTTTGTTGTTTCTTTCTTTTTTAAGTTCTGAACTGGCTCTTTTAGTTGAAAAAATGACATCCTCGTTTTGTTTGTCCATAATTTACAGAATGTCTGACATTGGTGGGTCAAGGTTCTCAAGCAATATGGTTGCCCAACCCACTCTGGATCTAGAAAGAATGCCTTTGAAAATAGATTTTCTATCAAAAGTCAAAGGATATACTGGCGAAGTTAAATAGAACTATTGCTCAAAAATTAATTTGTGAAGGAATTTTTAGATTCAAGCATTGTCCCATGGAACTAGAGAAGATTCAAAATCTTGTGCAACAGTACCTTAAAAGATAAAAAACTTTAATGCAGAAAGCAGTTGCAAAGGATAAAGAGGCATCAATAAATAAAAGAAAAATGGAATGGTTGATATTGAAGGGAGAGGAGATAGAAATGGATAGACCCAAAAGAGAAGGGAAAGAAATTTTGAAAATTATTATTACAAAAGGAAATGGTGGTGGGGTTCAAGCAACGATAAACCAAGTGATGAACATATAGGAAGAACGACAAGTTGCTTAATATTATTTTTACACTAGCATCATTCCCTTCAATTTATTAAAAGTGTGGAGTTTCTAAAAAAATGTGAGATGATTTAGAAATATGGAACTGACTATGAACCTCTTTCTTATCATGTCATCAAGAGATCAGGAAAAACTTTTGAAACAAGAAATGACTTGTTGACTATCTTCAATGCTTGAAGAATTTAGAGGACTGGAAGAGAATCAGTTGTTTAGTAATGTCTAATGGATGAACAAATAAGAAAAGATGTTCAATTTGCAGCTTTTCGCTTAACAACCCTTTTAGCACGTTAGTTCTCTACTCAATGGATACTTGTGACATCTCTAAAACAATTGAAAAAGGTTTTAAGAGGATCATGTAGCCATAGACAATACTGCAAATTACAAAACAAGAGACACGCTAATAAAAAGTGGTGAAAGAAATTGTATTGGAGTTTATGTGCTTTGTGTTGGAAGTTTCATGTCGTCTGTCATTTGGTATAATAATTTAAATACATGTAAGGTTACTCTATATATTGTCAATTGTTTATGTTGGAACCTTAACATGATATCAGAGTTAAAGTCTAGCATCTTGATTATTGTCTTGGGTCAAGAGTTGTCATTTTGTTGTGAGTCAAAAATACCTTTTGCCTAATCCGGTAGATTTTGTTGAAAAGAACATGTTGGATTTGGTATTGGTACAATTTATTAGGTGGTATTGGTACAATTTATTAGGTTACATCACGTATTACCAATTAATTTTATATTAGAATCTTTACAATTTTATATAAACTCTCGAATTTAGCATCCTTCTCTGGATATCTTTATGCTACTTATCAAACCATCTTAGGTTTCTGCTTATTCTCCATTTGAGAATGTAACAGACCTGAAAAATATGATGATGATGATTCATTTAAAGAAATGTGCATCTATAATTCATGGAAGATTAGATGCTCAATGACAACGGTTAAATTTAAACACTGTAGAGCATGAAGTAGCTCTTATTTTCCAGATTTACTGTCTTGAAGGTGTAGAGCTCTAAGTTAAAACTGTTATTTGCCCTTGCTAAAACATGAATTAATTTTTCCTTGCATCTTGTTCCTGTCTCCTTCTTAGGGTTGGCAGCGAAGGCTTGATCCAGAATATGATGTGTTGAATGCTTTGCAAACACTGCTATTTAAAGCTGACTTGGTAGAGTCTCTCTCTTATGCGATTGAGGGATTGGTGGCCCCGTGAATGAAAGGTGTTATATTTGCCCAAACGTTTTAAAAGGGTGGAGCAGAAAGAAGTATTAATGGTAAATTGCTTAGCTCTACAGTTGATGATCTTCCAATATTTCAAAGGCCTTTTTTGTCCTGCTATTTTTGAGTTTCTAATAAACTGCTGGGATGTGGGGACCTGGCATTGTGAAGGTTTTGAAATAATGTCTGATTCTGATATTAAATCATGATGTAGAATTTAACAAGCAGTACAGCTGTTTACAAAATTTTGGTTAAATTAAATTAAACAGCAATCCAATTTGAAAAAGTGTCTGATTCTAGAGTGATTTTGGTTTTAAACTGGTTTCAAAATTAATTCTTAAGTAAAAGTGGTTCTCAATCCAGTTTTCTTTTTGCAATAAAACTAAATTTAAACTGGATGTAATCATGTTTTGAATTGGATGTAATCATGTTTTGAATTGAAAAATGGTTGAGATATATTCTGAATTAAAAACCAGTTTCAAACAGATTTGATTGTCAGTCAACTTATTGAAGAGCTGGTATGAAACCAGTTTGGCAGAAATTAAATAAGCTATGAAAAGTCAAGGAATTTTGTTTTCAAATTTAATTCAAATTGGATTTAAGTCGGAATTATTTTTGCTTTTTAATAAACCTAAACAAACCTGAATCGTGCACGGACGTTCCTAATGAGCAGGAAGCAAATTATGTTCTTTAAGCTGCTGGAAGAAATAGTATTTTGTGAGCTTTGAAGTTTTTTAAGTCCTCAAATTTTTAAAACATAATGTTTCTTGTAATTTGTATAACCCAATTTGTCTTTATTAACACCATTGTGCTAGTTATATTTACTATTTAGCGTACGCTCCTTTCATCTTCTTTTTTTTTTTTTTTTTCAAATAAAAAACTAGTTAAATATATTTCTAGTCTTTCTCAAGTAAATAGTGCATATATAACTGAATGAGGATAAAGGGGTTCCTTTGAAGGTATCTTATGGTTAATGAATGACTCCAAACTTGTCTTAAAAGAGAAAATGTGACAATGAAAAGGAAAAGTAATGCTATTATAATATCCAACCTTTTTTTTTTCTCAAAACAAACATTACGATTTTCTTACAAATTAATATTTTCAACAAATAATTTGACATGATCTTCTCATAAAATGTTATTTCATTTTATTTTCAATATAAATAATGGGTTACTATTCATTAATATATTTTCTCATAAAATGTCATCAATAGTTTTAAAAGGGTAAATTACATATGTAAACTTTTTAAAATATTAAATACGTCCTTCTAAATGACATATATTAATCTATTTGAAATTTTCTTGGTAAACTTTAAAAATTATTCAATTACATGTAAATAAATAAATAAATAAATAAAAACACACTAATTTTATTGATTTGCATTGTTTGATGTAATGGTTGAACTTTTATACACACTACTAATATCTTCCAGGCCTAAGCTCCAACATTTTGAGTAGGTTACCAACGGTCAAATATTCCAAACCTTCCAAATCGAACCATCCCAGCCGTTCATCAAGCATCGCTCTCATCATCCAACGGCGCATAACGTGGACGACGAATCAATCAGACACACAACCCCACACGTCGTCGTTTCGCATTCACTTCTTCCCCTTCGCCGTTTTCGTCCCCATGTTCTCCCATTCTTAGAGCTCTCTGAAGTTCCTTAAATTTGCAACAACGACAAAATAACACTGAAAGCGTTTTCACAGCGCTTCTTGAGAACCATGGAAGCTTGTAAGAAGAAACGGGTTGCAATCAAGAAGACCAACGATCCCTGGACATTTCTGGTATTTTTGTTGTTGTTTTTGCTTTTCATTTTCCTCACTTTTTTCTAGTATTAGCGATCATGCGATATATTGAGTTTTTTTTTTTTTGGTGTACTTCTATGCGCTTGATCATCCGGAAGAAAAATAGTTTCGGTTTGTGAAACTTTGAAGATTTTCGATTTTGAAATCCATAATTGTGCATTTTAATTATTGTTGTTGTTCTTACTGATTCTTATTATTATTGTATTATTATCAGGGTATTATAGGTTAGATTCCTGATGTTATTCAGTTACTGTTTTGCTTTTCTATTTGTACCTCTCTGTTCGTTACTGTTAGTTCTGTTGTGGTGTTCATAGTTTTCTATTGTTAATTTGTGATTGTCTTTTTGGTGTGTTGCAAATGCGTGCCATACAGGAGCATATTGAAGCACCTATGTGGGTGGATTTGACTGTTGAAGCTATAGCTGGTGGTGTAGGCTCGTGAGTGTTCAATTAGGTTGAATGTTTCTTTTTATCAAATTATATTTATTGTTTTGATTTAATTTTTGTTATGTTGCAGAGGTGATGATGAATGGCTCAACACAAGTCACCCGTAAGAAATCTTTTGGAATTCTCTTTTTGGGGAGTTTTGACGATTTGTTATTGATCATGGGATTGTTTTGTAAACTGTGTTTGTGTATACTTCCTACCAATCATTTGCAGGTTCCACCAGATGTCTGCTCGAGAGTTAAAATCTAAGTTTTCTCAGGGTGAGGAGATATTGGCGCCAGTAGTTGATTTGCTAGGCGAAAATTCGCCTGAGCTTCCTTCTTCGGTCTCGAGATCTAGAGGCAAACACTACAACAACAAGAAGTGGGAAGGTATTGATCTGAATACTTTGTTGGATAAACAGATGGGTTTAAGTAGGAGGAGAGTGTTACAACAACGTTCCAGATTTGACCAAGAAGTGAAACCCAAATCAAAATCAAATGATAACAGGACAACAAGACCATTGAGTGGGAAGTTTGGACTGACGTTTGAACGGCATGCCAGAGGAAAAACTGAGTCAAAGATCAGTTGTAGCAAACCGGTTAGTAGTTCAAGTTCTGATCACAAGACTAGTGAAAGCTCTGCAAGGAGCACAATTACATCTGAGAACACTCGGAAATATAGGGAGGTATCTAGCAAACCATTCTATCAGAAAAGAAGTTCATCAATTAGGAGGATTAGTGTTGGGAAAAGTTGTATTACGAGAAAATTCTCAAGCATTCAGCCACGAAAGAAATGTTTGGAGTTATGTAGTCAACCATCTGATCAGAAGAGTGGAAGTTCATCCGTTATTAGCGTTAGGAGAAGTTATGCTTCAGGAAAGACTTCAAAAGTGACAATCAGTGATAATAGCACGCAGTCAAGGGGTCGTAAATCATCCTCCAGTAAGTCTAGTTTTGGGTCATGTTCAAACCCCAGTAATGAAGCTAAGCTTGTATCAAGTCAGCAGAGAGAGAAAATCACAGTTGAGAAAGGTGGGGTGACAATGAATCTTACAATTAAGAATCGTTGCAAGCCAGTTGAAATATTGAAGGCATCTGTCATTTCAGCTGAGGAAGCAAAATTTAGTAACATAAAGGAAAGTAACATCAATTTTGCAAAGCCAGCATACCATCGAACAGCTAAGTCATTGGTGAGAAGCTGCACTGTCCTTAAGTAATGCATTTCTATTTTGTTACACAAATTCTTTAAAATAATGTGGCTGTGTGTCCTATATAAAGCTCATATTGATTGAGTTTAAAGAATTGTTTTCACCAAATGATTGCAAATGCATCAGATTTAATTTTTTGAGTGCATCCCTTTTTGAAAGTTTCAGCTCTCTCTAGCTTCTTATCACAATATTTTCTTTTGTAGCTATGTTCAAATTTGTTACAACTTTTTACTATTTTATAATTTATGTTTATCAAGGATGGTGGATTTACGTTTGCAGGTCCAATATCCGTCTACAAGTTCAAAGGCATTGTTTCAACACGCAGTCAATAAAGAAAACAATTGTATAGGTGGTGCCAAGGAGAAAGTAAGAACTACCAAGATTAATAGTTTGATAGGCAAGGGGAAAGAGAATGTCAGAAAGAATGTGACTGTGGATCAGAAATGCATTGCAAGAGGTGTTTCTGCAGGGGAGCGTGTTAGAAGTCATAGAACTAATGATCACAACCCACAAAAGTGTGACACAGCTTTGACAATAGTTGGTATTGTAGTCAATTGAATTGGTTGACAGTTCTTTATGAGTCAGACTTCTAATATATCATGCATTATTATCATAGAATCTCGTCATTTGTGGTGGAAATATTAAAAGTATCTTTAGTTAGATGCATGATATCCTTTTGTCTATACTTAAAACGTTAAAGACTAATTCTCCTAAAAACATGGAGTAAAGTGAAAATTTAGAATGATTGTTATATTTAGCATCTTTTAGCCTTCTAACCAAATATCAGTTTGTTTATATATTTATTTACTTGTTCAGATTTTTTGGAGGGGCGAAATGTTTTAGTTATTACCTCGGACATGTACTCATTTTATCATCCTATGTTTTTTACCTTGGAATTATAACTTCCCGGTGGTCTCAGTTTATATTGATCGTGCGATTGAATTGCACTACAATTTTTTAACTTGGTTAAAAATTGTTTTGTTTTCTTCCTCTTTTCTTTTACATTTTCGGTTAAGTGCTGCTATTTAGCAAACCTTCCAAGTCTGATGCAAGTTCATTAATGCAGGGAAGAGACACCAAACAACGTGAGGCAAAGAACCCAATTAATCTTGCAAGAAGGATTTACCTACGTTAGATGAGTACAACATTCTTTCTTTCAGGTGATAAAACTTAAGGGGAAGAAATGATGACCCCTTTCAGAATCTGGCCAAGTCACATGCCTCGGTGAAGCCTAATATTGGTTTGTGCTAGTTCTAGCATATAGCGTAACTCTAGTACGGTTATGGCCCCCCATCCTGCAATTTTGGTAATAAATTTTAGTTGCTTTTTCATCATTATCAAATGATGTAATTCAGTAAATTCACTGTCACCTATTTTCACTCATGCAGATTGATATAAGGAAAATGAAACATTCTTGCATAGAAAACTCGTTACCAAAATCCTCGCAACACTCATGCGACTTATTGGATGATAACTTTTTGTGAATGATCCAAATAAATCCACTTTAGAGTTTTTGTGGAAATATCTTGACTCATACCATATATAGTTGGCTTGGCATCTGTAAAATTTAGCAAACGAGTGCCCCTATTTCCTTACAATCAATTATTTACCTAAGCAATACCTATAGAGATAAAAAAAGAAGAAAAAAAGTCTATTATATCAAATACTTAGCAATTGAACAAAAGAATCTAAGCTTGCCATATTTTTGGCAACTAGTTGTTTTATACAAAATTACATATTAGTAATGCAACAAAAGAAAAGGAGTTTTACAACATTGTTTACTATTACCATCAAATTAATACGGATTTATTTGAGGGCTTGAGCATGGGCTCCTAACTCTTTTTTTTAATTATTTTTTTAATATTAAGCTAATTAAATTTATTTGAAATTTTGAGTTAAAATAAATACCATTTCAGTGTTACTTTTTATAAAATATTTCATTCCTCTTTTATAATATATGGTGTGAGGATAATAAGAATTTTTTTTCTCTTTTTATACGAACATATATTATTTCTTATAGCATTATTTCATAATTACAATGTGTTTTAGACAAAATAGTCATATAATGTTAGTTTATCTTTTTACATTTTTCCTTTAATAAAATTGTTGTTGTTGTTATTTAAAGGTTATAAACGGTTGCATCAACAAGTTTAGTTTTGTTTTTTTTTTTTTTATATGGATTTAATTATAATCAATCTCGAAAATTAAAAGCTATTTATTATTATTGTTTGCTATCGGGTTCAATTTATTAATATACAAGAGAAGATTTAAATTTATTAATATTCTTATATATATATATATATATATATATATATATATATATATATATATATTATCTTTAAATTATTATTAAGGTTTGTTTTTTATGTGTTTTTTTGTAAGGCAAGTTTCTTAAACTCATAATATAGGATTTTATTATTACTTATAAGATAAAATTTTGGAATTTTTATCATGTTATTGCATTAGATATTGGTAATCATAGATAATTATTAGTTTTCTGATTTTTTTTATATTACATTACATATTTTGACTATTATTTTATTATTTGACGTTATAGTTCAAGATATTAATATTGATAAAAGATAGTTTTTTTATATTTCACTATTTTTAAATCGATATATTAATCAACATAGTGAAAGTATAATATCTATTTAAAAACAATATTTTTTACTTTATTTTAATTTAATTGAAAATATTTCAAAGTGTAGTTTAAGATAAATAGTGTAGAATACACAACATATAGAAAAAAAATATAACCATTCCAGTAAAAATATAAAGTAAATTTTAAAAATTTAAAATTATAGAAATTGAAATCATAAATACTCTAAAAAATATATTTTTTTCAGTGAAATAAAATTCAAGTCATATAAAATATCATATTAACATACATATTAGCATACATATTTCAACATATAATTTTATCAATTATTTATAATTTAATAAGTTATCTTAACTTTCAACCATATAAATTATGAATTATATTTCCGGCTAGTTTTTCTAAACCTTTAGAATTAAAATATTTGATCTTATCGTCTTTTTGTACACGCATTCTGCTTTCCAAATAATATATTCAACATGATTTAGATTGCAATTAAAAGTAGATAAATGGGTATAACAAGACAAAATTCAAATTTCAATCAAGTTCAATTATTTGTTTCTATATAATAAATTGGCGTAATGGGGGAATTCACAGTAGTAAATATATTAAGATTTTTTTTTTTTCATTGGGAGTGATTCGGGATTATGTTTATATGATAGTATCGGAACATTAATTATTACGTTTGAAATTTTAATATCTTAGGTTTTGTTTTTAAAGATATTTTAATGAATTAAAATAAGAAAATTTATATAAATTATTCTTAAATTTCACGACGTGAAACTAATTAAAGTACTGGGACACATTCGAAATTTTTTTTGACATGAATTATATATAAATATATTTTTCGATATAGAATTTCGTATTGGTACCATCATTGTATATTTATTTATTACTTTGTTTAATATAATTAATTTTAAATTAAAATCTAATATATGATATTAGAGTTATATCTTGTGTTTCATATAAGAAACATTTTCTTGATAAAAATATATTAAAAAAAGAGTCTGACATTATTTTCTTCACACATAACCTACTAATACCAATTGATTTTGAGTAAAATTCCGATATTTATTATACAATATTCTAATCACATAGTTAGAATAATCACATTTATAACACTTTTCTCGTACAATGAATGAAAGTGCACAGCACGATGACTTTTTGGGCGAATAGCTTCAGCCATATGCAATGTCTGCAATATATGGACAGAAAAATGTAAAGAAAAAAAATGTACGGAGTAATGGAGAAAATCTAAGTTGTGACAAGTTTTTGTTGGAAGAACCATTGATGACAAAATAATCAACAAAGTAGCATGCAGCTACGCCAGGCCTATACTTGTATGGTATGCAACCAAACACGGCACTAGTGGTCCCAAAATTTTCAGTTCATAGTAAAACTATTGTTGAATTGTGTTAAACCCTAACAAAGTGTTTATGATGCATGATTTAATATCTAGTAAACTCTACAAAATGATTTGTGTTGATTTAAATCAATCTTTTTCATCTATATACATTGTATCAAATTTTATATTAACACTTTCAGATTTTGTAAATTACATAATTCTAGAAATATAAACAATAGGTTTTATATTCAACTAAATAAATTTTATATCCAACTAAATAGGAGAAAATCTATACTTAAATATTACTTTCATAGGGAAAAATCTATATTCATAATTCATCAACTCATGTGAATATATAGAGTAAAAAAAATTGAGAGAAAATTCGCAAGAAAACAATAATTGTTAGGTCTATTAAAAAGGAAACTCGGCACATTACACACTGCCAGGTACATACCCATATATATATATATATATATATATATATATATATATATATATATATATATATATATTATTTATTTATTTATATATGGAAGAAGATTTTTATCTCCAGAACATACTGTACCTGAATAATTCAGAGGAGAACGTTTTAAGTTTCCTTTTTTATAAAATGTTAATTGTTTTTGGTTAAGAACCACCTTTAAAATGTGCTAACTTGTTTGAAGAAAAATTTCAAAAAAAATGAAATTTTACACTGAAAACTTATACTGAGTAATTTAAAAATTGCCTTAAAAATATGTTTCTTTTACTAATTTTAAACTAGAGTTTTCTTTTTTCTACCAAAAAAAGTTGAACGTAGGAGAGTTCAGTTATTGTTGTTACCTTACCTAGCATGCAGCAGATGTTGATTGGGATGAGAATTATTATGAAAGTGAAGAAAGAAACATAAAGATGAAGGTGCCAGGAACCTTGGTTCCTCAAACTTATTAGAGAATGAGACATACATTATCTCCTGTCTTAGTCATTTCCAACGCCAATTATATAATCTCTTCTCTCTCTCTTTCTCATGTGCAATGAAACACTTTTTTTTTTTTTTTTTTTACATATGCATGTGACGTGCAACAGTAAATATCCTAAAAAAAGAAACGTGAATTTCATCAGAAGGTCCTCACCTATTTTGCCCCGTCACCTAATTCATTAATAGGTGATTTTCTTCAAAAAGATTTATACATTAAAATAAAAATAAAAATTATAATAAAAAATATTATATTTTTTATATTATAATTAAGTAAATAAATTTAAATTATTGATTATAATTAATTATTTTAATATAATAATTTTTTATTTATCAATAAAAATATTAATTAATAAATAAAAATTAAAAAATAATTCATATAATTAAAAATATATTTATTTTCAAAATACATGTAAATAAATTTAATATAAAAAAATTATTGTTAATCACTCAGCCTATCAATGACGAAATGGATCGGAATTTGTAATTCATCTTATTGTCACAAGTTAATTAGCTTCATTTGGATATTGATGAATTAAATATGTGATAATTAAATGTGATAAATTAATCTAATTTATCATCTTCATTGTTCTTAAAAAAAATAATAATATGTATTTAATTAACCAAGCAAGAGTTGTGATCAAATTCTTCCATGTCAATTCATTTAGGTCATGTTTAATGAAACTAAAATAAAATATACATTTTTTTCGTCATGTTGTTAGGATAATTTATGATGAAACTAAGCAATCAAACTATATGATACCTAATTTAGAAAGTAAGCATACTGGTACGAGTTACAGACATGATGATTTTAAAAAATAATTAATTCTTGAAAGTATATAACTCTCTCTTTATAAGAATGATGGTTTTTATTATAAACCTTAAACCCTAAATTTTTTAACAATTAGAAACCACGATTATAACTTTTAAAATATTTATTGAAAATCATATATAATAATTTGTGATTGAATGATATGCATAAAATATATAGTAGAAAAACTTTACACTATTAACAAATAAAAAAAATCCAAAGCTACTATAACTTTTAAGATGCATTTTTATTATCAGAATATAATATATATTCTCTTCTTATTTTCCATTACTTGTAATTTTGAATTTAATTTATATACACTTTTTTATTTAAATTATTATACGCTTGTGTAGATGACAATTTATATAAATTAAAGTTTAGA